AACCTGGTCCTCTCTCTTTTTATTTTTCCCAAATGATTTTGAGTTTTGTTCCACATTGTTCTCCCTCTCTATCCAGGATCTCCTACATAGATCCCACTCTGAGTGGTTGACAGTGGTAGCCAGGCACCATCTAGTTCTTCTAGTCTCATCGTCATAAAGGCTGCGGATCACATGGTGTACCAGTCGCTAGGAATAATTGTTTCCATGAATCTTTGGTTTTCTTCATTCTTCTTTGCTCTGGACAAGGAGAGACCCATCATTGCATCTAGATGGCTGCTTGCCGCTTGCAAGCTTTTAAGACCTCAGGCATTATGCAATGAACTAAGAGGTAGATCAGAAGTACTAAACACATTATTAAGCCATGATCCTAAACCTCCAAACCAAGGAACCAAATGCCATAAGGTGTTTGGTTACATGTCCTCACTGTTTTTTTCCTTCAAATTATTTTTTGTGATTTGGGTGAAAGTTTACAGAGCAAACTCATTTTCCATACAGCAGTTCATACACATTTTGTTTCATGACATTGACTATAATTCCCCACAGTGTAACAGCTGTCTTCCCACTTCCTCCCTGTAGTTACTTCTTCCCTGTGTCCACCTTTCCTATGCATTCCTGTCTTCTGAGCAATCTTCCTGTGCAAATACTGCCCTTCTATTCTCCTAGGATTGATCATTCTAAGGAGTGTATTTACCTGATGTAAGTGTTCACCCTGTATGTCTGTCTGTTGTTTGGCTGGAAGTCACGGGCTTGAGTTCAATTCTAGACCTGAAGGGTAACTAGGGGCCTGGTTACCTAGTTACCTAGTCTCAGGGGTTTCACCAGGCTATGCCAGACCAGCAAACCTGCCCTGTTTTCTATGATTTTGAGTTTTGTTCCACATTGTTCTCCCACTTTATCCAGAATCTCCTGCACTGATCCCACTCCAAATGGTTTACAATGGTAACTGGGTATCATATAGTTCTTCTGGTCTTATGGTCATATAGGCTGAAGATCACATGGTCTACTAGTCCTTGGATGAATTATTTCCATGTGTTTTTGGTTTTCTTCATTCTTCTTTGTTCTGGATGAGAAGAGACCCATTGTTGCATTTAGATGGCCACTTGCAAGCTTTTAAGACCCTAGTTGCTACTTACCAAAGTAGCATGTAGAATGATGTTTTTGTGTAGTATGTTAGTGCATGCTGTTTTTAAGGAGTCATTCATTCATTCATTTACTATATATTTATTTAGCAGGTGTGCAAAAACGGCAAGGAGGCCACATGTTCCGACCTCCTCTAACCCTACAAGGGGAAGACAGGATTACCAGCAGTAACCCAAGGCCTATTACTGCAAGGCCAGACATGCTGCCTCCCTCGAGCCCTTTCACCAACCGTTCCTCCCAAAGCACCCACCACCTCTCTCCTGGGTTTGATAATTTGCTGCAGTGGCCACACAGAACTCACAGATTATGAGGTTTATTAGGGAAGCACCAGGCTGCAATTTGAGTTCAGGAAAAATGCTCAGTCTCTCTCCCAGTCCACTGTCTCTCAGCCAGCAGTCTCTCACAGTCTCTTTCCCAGCAGTGCTGGTCCCTCGGTGTCTCACTTAGCAATGCGTGTCTCTTGTGCCTCTTTCCCAGCAGCACGTGTCTCTTTCTGGGGTGCGTGTCTCTTTCAGCAGCATGTCTTCCTCAACCAGCAGTCCGAGAGAGAGTTCTGCCTCTAGGAAGCCTCCTTTTGGGCCCAGCAGGGTGGTCAGACTAGCCAATCATAGCATCAGAACTCTAAGCACCTGCGAGAGAGTGGGCACCTCCCAGAACATTGTATTGTGCCATGCCCAACAGCAATAACCCAGGTGGATAGCTTCAGCAATCAGGAGCTCCTCAGTTCCTAGTAGCAGTTCCCACCTTGGAGTTTACAAAGACGTATGGGTAGACAAGCTACGCTAATTTACTGCACCACAAGGTGTTATGTGCCAGACACTATTCTAGGTCCTGAGAATATGGGACCTAGAACATGTTCCTGTTCTCAAAGAATATTCATTCTAGTGGAGAAGCATGAAGTAAACAAATTACTAAGAAAATACATGGAATTTATATAGAGCTAGTCAATTTTTTTAAAATGTGATGAAAATATACTTAACGCAGCATATGTTATCTCGGCAATTTTTAATGTATAATTAGTGACATTGATTCACTATCCTTTTCCAAACCATTCCACCATCATTAACATAAACTTGCTGCCTCCTTAGACAAAAACTCCCCTTTTCTCACTCCCTCCTACTCTGGTAACCACTAATATTCTTTGTTTTCTATAAATTTGCTTATTTCATATAAGTAAGATTATATAAAATTTATCCTTTAGTGATTGATTAACCACTTAGTATAATGTTTTCAGTGTTTCATAATGTTTTCAATACTGTAGCATGTTTTTTATTTTTTAAAAAATTTTATTGTGATTTAGGTGAAAGTTTACAGAGCAAATTCACTTTCCATACAGCAGTACACATACACTTTTGTCTCGTGGCATTGACTGCAATTTCCCACAGTGCAACAGTTCCCCTCCCACTTCCTCTCCATAGTTACCTCTTCCCTGTGTCCTTCCCTTCTGTGCACTCCTGACCCTCAATCTGTATCCCTGTGCATATACAGCCCTTCTGTTCTCCCACGATTCATCTCTTCGAGGAGTGTATCTACCTGATATAAATGTTCAGCTCATATGCCTATCTTTTGTTTGGCTGGAAGCCACAGGACAGGAGTGGCCTGAATTCCAGACCTGAAGGGCAGCTAGGGGCCATAGTCTCAGTGGTTCCACCAAGTGTAGCATGTTTTAGGACTTGATTTTTCTTTATGGCTGAGTTATATTCCATTGTGTATATGTACTACATTTTTAAAATCTGTTCATCTGTGGACATTTAGGTTGTTTGAACCTTTTGGTAATTGTGAATAGTACTGCATTCAAAACTGGTGTGCATGTGTCTCTTGTTTCTTTTAAGTCTTTTGTGTACATATTTAGTAGTAGAGTTGCTAAGTCACGTGGTAGTTCTATGTTTAACTTTTTGAGGAACTGTCAAGCTGTTTTCCACAATAGCTGTTTCATTTTGCATTCCCATCAGCAATGGAGGAGGATTTCAATTTCTCAACATTTGTTATTTTCCATTTTACTGATCTTAGGCACCCTGGTGGGGACGGATGATGTCTCACTGTGGTTTTGATTTGCATCTCCCTAATGTCTAATGAGGAGCTCTGGTAGCATAGTGGCTAAGACACTTGCCTGCTAACCAGACGGCTGGCGGTTCAAACCCACCAGCCACTCCTCGGAAGGAAGGTTGGGCAATCCTACTTCTGTAGTGATACTGCCTCGGAAACCCAAGGAGGGGTCGCTATGAGTCGGGTTTGACTCGACGGCACATAACAACAACAACAACAATGTCTAATGAAGTTGAACGTCTTTTCTTGTGTTAGTTGTCTGTTCAGGTCTTTTGCCCATTTTTTGATTGGGTTGTCTTTTTGTTGTAAGTTGTAGGAATTCTTATATATTCTGG